ATCTAAAAAACATAGCGAAAATCAAAGGTTTACTGTCTAAATCAGACTTGGAGAAACTTATCCATGCGTTTGTCTCCAGTAGGTTAGATACTGTAATGTTCTGCTCACTGGTCTCTCAAAACCAGATGTGAGACGCTGCAGAACATCCAGAACGCTGCAGGTCGGGTCCTTACTCGAACTAGGAAGTACGAGCACATAAGTCCTGTGCTCAGGTCTCTGCACTGGCTTCCTGTGCCTCAGAGACTTTAAAGCAGCTCTGCTTGTGTACAAGTGTCTCCATGGCCGAGCACCAAAGTCCATCTGTGACATGTTAGTGTCATATGAACATCTCACACTCTGAGGACCTCAGGGACCGACCTCCTGCTGGTGCCCAGAGTCACGACTAAACAAGGGGAGTCAGAGTTTCAGGTTCATGCAGCTAAAACCTGGAACAGTCTGAACATGTGAGACAGACTCTTCTGTGACGCTGTTTAAATCCAGACTCAAAACATTTCTGTTTAACTGTGCAAATGACTGAAAGGTTTTCATTCCGCACTCTTCTCTCCAATTTATGTCTCTCTTTTTTAATTTTATCTTCATGATTATTTATGTTTTGATTTGTTTTTATTATGATTTTAATGTATTTCTTATTCTGTAAAGCACTTTGAATTACTTTGTGTACGAATTGTGCTGTACAAATAAACTTGCCTTGCCTGTGGCCCTTATCCCTAACACATAAAGATAAAGCTCATACTTCGTTCTTAACTTCTACTTATTAACAAGTTGATGAACTGATGAGTTGATGTTTGAATCCCAGTTTTTGTCATTTCAATGCATCCATTGTGTCCATGGGCAAGGTCCAAGGTTTTGTTGAGTTGGATGTGAAGCACTTTGGTCAGCTGTAGTTGTTTTAAATGTGCTATATAAATAAACTTGAATTGAATTGAAAATTGAATTGAAGGTCCACCGCTCACCTTGCTTTGCCTGTGATAGACCCCATAAAGAACAGAACAACTGAAGAACAGAACTGAAGAAGAAGCTTGGATGAGCTGCGAAACAAATTTGAGCAAAATAAACGTTTGTCCAGTTGACAAATTGAATTTCTCCTTTGGATTCTACCTGGACGACTGAGGGATTTTACACAAAACAGAACAACCGCAGCTCTCAGCGAGGGGCTCAAAGTGCTTCACATCACCACTTTGTATTGTTTTCTGAAGACAACGTCCACAGCTCTTCTTCCCTCACATTTTGTAATTATGTGTTATCCCGAGTTCTGAATTGTATGTAGAAGATGTTTGTTTAGGTGTTTGGTGTTTCAAAGTAGTTCATTTAGGTTTTTTTAGTTAAACTTCGTGTTAAATGATGTTGAAGAAAATGAAACATGTTTATTTTCTTTTTTAAAATGGATTGAAACTCAAAAATGTGTTACTTTACAAATACATTTTAAGGCATAATACATGTTCAATTACACTAGTTTATTAGTGTTTGCATCTTTTATATCTTCTTTTCTGGGTTTTAATATTTTATAACATTATTACAACAGATGCTCTCCTAACGTAACCTTGTTTCTCTGATTTGATAAATATTTTTCAAGATCCTGTTTTACACAAAATTGACTTTTGTGAGCTTTAAGTCATGTTATAATGTTGTTACCTTATGAAAAACATGCCCAGAAGTGTTTTGTTTCACTTGCGTACGTTGGAGTAATCTTTTTTTTATTAGTCTGTCTACATCTCCAAACTCAGAATGCTCTGTTCTCCCTCCTGATGTTCAAGTTAACAACTACTTATTAACTTTTCTTCAGAAGATATTTGGTAATTACAGGACTGAAATCATCCAAATGATTCTAGTGAAGGTTTATAGAGTTTAAAAAAACACAGTTGAGCAGTTCTTGTATCACCACATGACATCACACGGTGGAACAGAGTGTTTTCCGTAAGTGAGAAGAACATGCGGGTTTGGTGTGTGAATGAAACACAATAATACAACTCCAGGTCTGTTTTTGATGAGGAAACATTATGTCGTAGATTAAAAAATAGAGTAATACGGGTCCTTTCATTAGTCTGCCTAATGTTATGGGTAACACTTTATAATAACTACACCTTATTTAGCCTTAATAAAGCATGAACAAAGACTTAATTAATAATGAACAAAGACTTTATTAATAATGATTCACGCTTAGTAACTACTCAATTACTACCTTAATTAGCACTTGCACTTAATTTGCCTGTGCTGTAAATAGTTACTCATAATTATTTCATACTTAATTACTCATGGACTAATCATTTGAGCATTTATTAATGATTAATAAGCCATGAGAGAATGATTTACTAATAATACAATGCAATGATAATTCAGGCAGCTGTTATCTGTTAAGTCTTTTTGAGAGATTTTCTAAAGTGAAGACAAATTATGCTTTATTAAACATTTACTAAGCGTGAATCATTATATAATTAAATCTTTGTTCATTATTAATTAAGTCTTTGTTAATGCTTTATTAAGGCTAAGTAAGGTGTAGTTATTATAAAGTGTTACCGTGTTATGAAATGTTAAAATTCCTTTGCAAAATACACCAAAGACCAGGAGTCTCCAACCTGTAACTTTCCACCCTCTTCCAAGTAGCTCATCAAGGAATTTTTGAATAACACATATTGTGCTGAATAAGTAATATTTGATTAATTAAATTCCTTTTGCCGTTGCACATGTATCATTTTGATGCCTAACTGGATGATGATTTATGTTTTATAGACATCTAACTGTACCTCATCTAAGCCTCGCTGTTTCTCTTTTATACACTGCATTTTTGGACTATAAGTTGTTCCACAATACCGTCTCGCTCCATGTTTACCAAACTCTCCATCTCACTCCAAATCACTAAATCCATTCGATTCTTCGTCCTCGGTGTCACTTCTGAGCAACTCCGCGACCTCCGGAGGTAAACAGAGCGCCGCTTCCTCTTCTGTGTCGCTGTCATCAAACCCAGCATCAGTTCCAGTTAGAATTATTCGGGTCTTTCTGAATCCCGACAGGATGGTTTCGGTGTCACTGAAGTCCAGATTTTGTCCATCCATCCAGTGACTTCAGGAAAGTTTCATGGTGCATCCTCCCGGTCGCCAGTCCCTCACAAGTTTCTTGCTCACTCCAAACTTTCTTTCTGCTGCTCAGTTACCGTTTTCAGCTACAGATTTCATGACTTGCAACAGGACAGAGGCTCTTTCTGCAGGAGACATGTGCAGTAGAGCCAAGTGACAGTGGTACAGGAGGAACAGGAGCAGCAGATACTCACACACAAGACTAGAGCCTCTTGTGACTGTCAGTCTGAAAATTTTAATATATAAGTCGCACCAGAGTATAAGGAAGTATAAGTATATAAGTATAAGAAGGAAACACCCAAACTAGGGATGGGCATTTGATGAAATTTTCTTAATCGATCGTCGGAAGAATTAACGATCGATTATCGATTAATCATTAACGTTTTTATATTAAAATGATCATCATTATTATTACTATCTGCACTACTAAACTGCATAAATAAATTCAACTTTACGACATATAAACCGTAACGACTCTAGAGCCACATCAGCCCGTTTGAGATTATAATGTGTTTAATTCAGTTTTGCGCAACTCCCACAGAAACAAAACTTAAAACCGCATCGCTAATTTGCATAAACTAAGCGAAGATAAAACTACAGCACTTGTGTGGCTGATGCGGTTAAATTTCTGTCGGATTAAAAGACACGACTCAATGAAATACAGGTTAGTGTGACCATATTTGCGGTTTTCAAAACCAGGACATCGTACGGGGGGAGGGAGGTTGGGACTCGTCATCAGCATTGAGCGACTCTCACCTGGTAAATCTTTTTCCCACTGGACACCGAAACATATGTACCTGCTTTATACACTGTGCACATGGACTCACACTTGTCCCGAACGCAACGGAAAGCGTGGAATTTCTTGTACAAGTCATCGTTAAATACGCATTTGTGCTTCGGTACGTTGCAGACTCAACTCGACTGTTTGTGTCTCGCTCCTTCTGAGTGCAGAGACACATGTACAGACCCCTGTTTGGTCACGCTACGCACAGCAACCTGCATTCGGTTTGTCGATTAAAATTAACGTAATCGATGAAATTCTTAACAATCAATTATCGATTAATGGATTAATCATGCCTTTCCCTAACCCAAACTATGAAAAAAGTGCGACTTATAGACCGCAACATGCAGTACTAAATTTCTTGTGATCGCTAAAATGAGTAGCTTTTCTGGCAGTTTTGTTTTGTGAAAGTAGCTAAAGTAGTAAAAGGTTGGACACCCCCGCAATAGACAATGTCAATAAACATAACTATGAAATACAATTTTTTTTCTCGCAATTTTATTAAGAAAATAAGTATAAAAATATAAATATAAAACACTATGACGCCGCATTCAAACAGCATGAATCCAGTGTATGACAATTTTCCTAACACATACACTTTTCCATTACATTTTACACCGAGTACATGAGATCATGAATTCACAGTTTGACAAATCAACTGCACCAACCATTCACGTGGTCAACGAAGATAGCAAATAGAATATTATAGGATGTCCATAAAAACACTTTGTACATATACTGTTGAGTGGCTCCTACGCAAACTCCCAAACTACCCAAGTTTGCTCCCGCTGGACGATAATACAACTATCTCTCGATACAAAACACATGTCCACATTATTGTTCACAAAACCCTAAAATTCAAAGGCATCTTCACTGATTATGACCAAAAAAATGGCAAAACTTCAAGAATACATTAATCCTCTGTAAAACTGAGTTCAAGTCTATTACATCCATCGCTGGATTCGTCGAGTCCGTTCGGTGTGCTAGCGCCCTAACGAGAATCAACAAATGGTCGGCCAGCGCAAAGCCGGTCAACTAGACATAAAAACAGATATATTTCGATAGATAGGTAGACGGACGGTGGGCGAGCTCGCGCGAGTCAGTAATAGCTGGCGCCACGATAGTTAAAAACATTAAAAAAGTCTCTTCTAGGTGTCAAGTTCCGCGGTTTTCCCTATGTACATTTCCGCCAGCTTCTTGAAGTGCGGCCCCCAGTTGCTAAGGTAATCGTACTCTTGGTCTCCTTCCGTCGCCGTGGACTCCAGCGAACTCAACGACTCCGCCAACGAGCCGCTTCCCTCGTAGGCGTACGTGGCCAGCGAGTCGTAAGGGGGCGCCGTCGGGTCCGAGTCGTTCTCCTGCAACCTGCTGTTGATGAAGTCCCTCACGTCCGTGTTATCCTTAATGGGCGAGGTCCTACGGAACGGGAACAGCATCTCCGGGATGATGTCTCGCCGGAGTTTGTTGGCGTCCATGACCTCGGGGTTGCGCAGCGTGCCGATGTCGAAGGCCTGGGTGTCTTCTTCTCCGCCGCCCTCGTCGTTGTAGCTCACCACGTTGTCGCGCACGTCCTCTTTGGAGATGATGAGCGGTTCCTTCTTCCTCTGCCTCCTCAGAGCGGCGAAAAGCACCACGATCACTGCACAAAAGAACAAGAGAAAGCATTTTAGCGAGCAAAGCAGGGCGTCCGAATAATTATAAGGTTTCAGATTTGAATCGCAGTTTTCTATAGGCACGTAGCGTTGAACTGAGAGGCGGGCAGTGTATACTTTTGGTGTGGTTAGATGAATATAGAGTGCAGTGATGGACTGAGTCATAAAAATAAATTATAAGGTTTATAACTTTGTTTTTGGGGCATATATGGAAGTGTTTTAAAAGGGTTTTATGGGGTTAAGGACCCAGTGATATACTAGTCATTTTAGCACAACATCGTTACAATCATTATATTTAAAATGTTATTCAAAATGTTGGCAAAATGTGCTGAACTTTTGGGAAAAAGTCTCCCTAGTCCTGATGTGATCCATACAGAACTCTCAAAAATAATACAAACTTTTTACAACATATTTTCACAAATTGCTTCTTGATGTGTAAAAGGAGTAAAACTATCATTTACTTTTACTACAGGTATTATCCTACTACTGTGGTCCCCAAGCTTTTTTGCCCCACAGACTGATTTTATGTCCAACAATATTTTCACGGATCAGCCGCGAATATTAGGAGACGCGGTTTAGTCCAGGTTTTAGTTCTGGTTTAGTCCTGCTTATAGTTCTGATTTTAGTTCTGTTTTAGTTCTGGTTTTAGTCCTGGTTTTAGTTCTGGTTTAGACCTGATTTCAGTCCTGGTTTAGTCCTGCTTTTAGTTCTAGTTTAGTCCTGGTAGTTTTTCTTTTAGTTCTGCTGGTTTTAGTTCTAGTTTTAGTCTGGTTTAGTTAGTCCTGGTTAGTAGTTTTTAGTTCTGGTTTTCTTTTAGTCCTGGTTTAGTTAGTTTAGTTCTGGTTTAGTCCTGGTTTAGTTCCTGTTTAGTCCTGCTTTTAGTTCTAGTTTAGTCCTGGTTTTAGTTCTAGTTTAGTCCTGGTTTAGTCCTGGTTTTAGTTCTGATTTTAGTTCTGGTTTTAGTCCTGGTTTAGTCCTGGTTTTAGTTCTAGTTTAGTCCTGGTTTAGTTCTTTAGTTGGTTTTAGTTCTGATTTTAGTTCTGTTTAGTTTTAGTCTTGGTTCTGGTTTAGTCCTGATTTTAGTCCTGTTTAGTCTTTTAGTTTAGTTTTAGTCCTGGTTTAGTCCTGTTTGTTCTAGTTTAGTCCTGGTCCTGTTCTAGTTTATTTTAGTTCTGGTTTAGTCCTGGTTTTAGTTCTGTTTAGTTCTGTTTAGTCCTGGTTTTAGTTAGTCCTGGTTTAGTCCTGGTTTAGTTCCTGGTTTAGTCCTGGTTTAGTTCTGATTTTAGTTCTGGTTTAGTTTTAGTCCTGGTTTTAGTCCTGGTGTTAGTTCTGATTTTAGTTCTGGTTTAGACCTGATTTTAGTCCTGGTTTAGTCCTGGTTTTAGTTCTAGTTTTAGTCCTGGTTTAGACCTGGTTTAGTCCTGCTTTAGACCTGATTTTAGTTCTGGTTCTAGTTCTGGTTTTAGTCCTGGTTTAGCCCTGGTTTTAGTCCTGGTTTAAAGACGCACGGTGCACGGGAGGAGGTAACGCACGCAAACGACCCCACTGCTCCACGGCTGGCGGGGGTTGGGGACCCGTGTCCTGCGACATTCAGTCAAAATTGGAGAGTCTTCAAAAAAAAAAAAAAAAAAAAAAAAAAAAGGTATACACACTTTAACATCAGGTTCCCTTCCTCATAACCTCTTGTATCTGGTTTCATTATTACCATAATTCATGTAAAAACTTGTATTGAATGTTCATCCCCCGCCCCTCAAAACTGTCTAAGGAAAATAAATATATGCATAAAACACTATGACTCTGCTTTAAAAAGGTTTTATAAGAAACACAGACAGACAGGATGATGCCACCGTCTGAATGAAAGGTTAATTAAGTTCTACCACAAGACAAGAAAACAACAAGAAATAACTTTAACTTCTATTATGTTTAATGAATAAGTTTCTTTATTAATAAAATGTGTGACACTGGCTCCAACATCAGGGCTTATAGTCTGGAAAAAAAAAAAAAAGTAGGCATCGCAAATTAATCATTTGTTCATTCATTTTTCAGTATAAAACCAAAAAGAAGAAAACAAAAACAAAAAAAAAACAGACAAACAAAAAAAAAAAAAACTATTTTCTTCATTATTTGTTTCCAGGATTAAACCATTTTCAGTCTTGGTCTGGTCCCAGTCTCAGTCCCAGTCTAGTCCTGGTTTCAGTCCTGGTCTGGTCCCGGTCTCAGTCCCGTCTCAGTCTGGTTCAGTCCTGGTCTGGTCCAGTCTCAGTCCTGGTCTCAGTCCTGGTCTGGTCCGGTCTCAGTCCTGGTCTCAGTCCCGGTCTCAGTCTGGTTTCAGTCCTGGTCTGGTCCGGTCTAGTCCCGTCCAGTCCTGTCAGTCCTGGGTCCCAGTCCGTCCTGGTTTCAGTCCTGGTCTGGTCCCGGTCTCAGTCCTGGTCTCAGTCCCAGTCTGGTTCCGGTCTGGTCCCGGACCTGGTTTAGTCCTGTTTTAGTCCTGTTTTGGTCCTGGTTTTAGACCTGCTTTTAGTCCAAGTTTAGTCCTGGTTTAATCTTGGTTTAGTCTGTTAAATCCTATTTTAATCCTGTTTTAGTCCTGTTTTAATCCTAGTTTAGTCCTGCTTTATTCCTGCTTTATTCCTGGTTTAGACCTGGTTTAGTCCCGGTTTAGTCCTGGACTGTTTTAGCCCTGGTGTTAGTTCTGGTTTAGGAATTACCAATTTATTTATTTATTTTTTTAAGGGACAAAGCCCAAAACATGAAAACAGGAAAATCCCGCTGTTCTTTTTTTTTTTTTTTTTTTTTTTAAAATAAAACGTCAATAACAAACTGATCAACATTCGTCCGATTCTTCCGCCCGCTTTCTTTTCTCGTTGGCTCGGCATTTAAAACTCCGATAAAAACAGAGCGCGCGGCGAGGGCAGCGTGGACCGATGTTGAACATATGTCGTAGATTTAAAAGCACGGCGGCGAGGATACGTTTTCTACAGTGATAAAACCTCCCTCCGCCTCTGTTCTTCCTCCTCTTCCTCCTCCTCTTCTCTCTCTCTCTCCATCTCTGCCTGGGGCTCACCTCCTTTTATTAAAGATTCAGAGCAAAGGCTTTTTCTCTTTCTTGTGTCTTGAATGGTGCCCCGGCTCACAAAGTGCTCCGCTTCGTCTTTATTCTCAGCGGCGGAGGCGGCGCTCGTATCTGCCTCTTGTGATGGAGGAGAGGCTGGGACGGGAGTAACGCCGCGTAATGTCTGTAGTGGCAGAGGGAGAGAGACGGGAATGTACTGGAACTTAATAATGTTTCAAAGCCGGCAGAATTCTCCGGGCGCGCGGGGTTTGAGTTCGCGGATTCAAAAAGTCAAAAGAGAAAGTGGTGGGGGTCGAGACGAGTGGTGCTAATCTCACCAGGTAAATTCCTCTCAAAACTGTAAATACATGAGGGAAATTATCTTACGAGGAGTGTTGGGAAGGTTACTTTTAAAATCTATTCCCCTCCACCACGGGTGTCAAACATGCGGCCCGGGGGCCAAATCCGACCCTCCAAGACCTTTAATCTGGCCCTCGGCTGATTTTCTACTAAAATATTTTGAGTATATTTTTGAGTATTAAAATCTTGGTAATTTTCTGTGGTGTTTATCACAGCAGCGTCTCCAGCGTCTCTGTACGTGGCCCCTCCCACCAGAGCAGCACAAATGAAGACTTGTCTCTTTCCAAACGCTCTTAAAGGACGATCGTTTTGACTGTTGACCGTGACACCCTCATCAGAAAAATGTCCAACATGAGAAAAGTGGAGCCGAGTGCAGGATTTTCCAAGAAAAATTTGACTTATTCCTATTTGCAAACAAGTTCATGTTAAAACATTGTGTTAAAAAAATAAAAAATAAGAAATCACTAATATTTGATGTTTTTTACACACGGTCCACACAGCATGTTTAGTCCTGTTTTAGTCTTGGTTTAGTCCTGTTAAATCCTCATTTAGTCCTGCTTTAGTCCTGTTTTAGTTCTGCTTTAGTCTTATTAAATCCTGTTTTAGTCTTTTTTTAGTCCTAGTTTAGTTCTGTTAAATCCTGGTTTAGAGCTGGTTTAGTCCTGATTTCGATCTGGTTTTAGACCTGGTTAGACCTGGTTTAGTTCTGGTTTAGACCTAGTTTAGACCTGGTTTTAGACCTGGTTTAGACCTGATTTTAGTCCTAGTTTAGTCCTGGTTTAGTCCTGGACTGTTTTAGTCCAGGACTAAACCAGTAATAAGTCCAGGAATTTTGGTAATTAGAAATTACCAAAATTTCAACAAAAAAAACAAAAAAAGGATAAAGCCCAAAATGTGAAAACAGGAAAATCCCGCCGTGTAATCCAATTATTTCAACAAAGTAATTGTAATCCAATTACCACTCATTGAAACAGTAACTGTAACTGAATACAGTTACTCATAATTTGTACTCTGATTACATAACGCCGGTACATGTAATCTGTTACTCCCCAACACTGATGCTGAGATTGATCTTCTTCAATATTTACATTTGGACTGGACAAATCTTCATACTGATCGCACCTATTGATACTTTACAGCTGACGTCGTCGACATTTCCTGGTCTTGAGCTTCGCCTGAGGCCTGTTATACTTTATTTGAGTTTTGGTTTAACACAATCTGACCAGAAAGAGTTAACGTAGCTGGAGGTGAACTGATTTGTGATGTTAAACAAATCTTTCTCAAACGCCAACAGTTTTTCACTTAGTTCCTCTCACCTTTTTTTTGCTGAAAATCAAACACCTAAACTGAACCGTATTGATTCTCGTATTGATTACGAGCTCCTGGAAACATGTACTTTTTCTTGAGTTTTAAAGAGAGATCGTAACACGTAAAAGCTGTTGTTCCAGAAATCAGTGTTAATGTGACAAAAATAAAATAATCATGGTTAAACTTCTAACTGAATGCAAGATACATAAGTTAAACATCACAAATAATAATTCCATGGACAGAAGCAGGCGGCAAAATCCCCAACCT